CAGCACAGAAGCTAAGACTTCACTATTGTATAACAGGCAATAACTCTATTGATAAAACCACAAAGATTAATTGGAAATCTCATTGGAAAGAAATATGTAATGGAAAATACCACATTTAGATGAAGTATATGAACCAAAAGCATTAAAAAATCAAGCACATTATTCCAAGCTTTAGTTCATAATATTGTACATAACACAAAATACTTATTTTACATTGATTATATGTTGAATCACTTGAAATAGACCGATTTTATAATGAAAGAACACAATTGTTATAAGTACATGTAAGATAATATGAACATATATAAAGCAATACAGAGTAAAGGAAGAAGTACAAAAATAAGAACCAGAAGCCTGATATTTTTGAGGCTTGAGCTACTCACAAATTTTCTAATATTTAGTTCCCACATTTGAAAAATGGGAAAACTTTAGACTGCCTATGCCTAAAGATCCTGTGAGTAATAAAGAGGCATACATACAAATAATACACATTACCAGTGAACTATGACACAAACTATGGCATTTTCATATTAAAAACAAATTCATTATTTTATAATGAAGAGCTACCTTTAAAGTTTTGGGTATCTACTATCAGAAAAAAGCAACAAAAATATTTTGAATATATTAAATGTCAGTGTTTTAAAAATCAATTTGGGAATCATATTGGAGTAAATTAATAACTAAAGTCATATTAGTAAATAAAAATATTTATGCAAAGATACTTGAGGTCATAATAAAATTTGAGGGTATTGGTGGCCATAAGATTAAAAGATTCAGCAGTAAATCTGAATGTATATCAGCAACTTGAATCTTGGGCCTTATAAACACTGGGGATTCCAAGACTCTTTATGAGGTTTTTAAAAAATTGTTAGATCTTAGGAAGCGGTCTGGTTGAACAATGGTATTCTTCAGAGTAAAATTTTCAAAGCACTAGCAAGTTCTTCACACCATAATTAGTAGAGAACATACGTACTATGATGGAGAGCAAAATTGTTGAGGAAAAGAGGTCAAGGAATTGGAAAGCCAAAGAGTTAAGAAAGCTCATTTGTTTAGATGTCAAAACTAATAAGAGTGATGACAAGTGTCACAGAGAATGGCAAAGGTCTTGGAATTAAACTTCTTTAACATCTGAGAGAATGCATAAAATCAATAATTACTGTGAGAAAGAAATGAGAGTTGAAACGAAGACTTCAAGGAAGAAGGGAAAATGGTCTGGAAATGCCCAAAAGGAACAACAGGGACATGTGGTCATCTCCAATCACAGAGGTGTGAGAGATGGGAGAGAAAATCACAGGCACCACCTGAGCGAGCAGCTGGGAAAGAACATCCTCAGGGCCTCAGTTTCACTCACGCCAAGGAGGTGAAGGGAACTCTTTACAAAGTGTAAGGATGTAGGTTTCTTACTGGTTACTGGGTCTGAGTTCAGGGAGTACAGTAAAAAATTCTAGGAGCAGGAGAGGTGGAGTGATCAGGCCACAAAGGAAGGCACAGAAAATTATGGAATTATGTCATAGTTAGATCCTGAATGCCCTTCAAGGGCCAAGACACCATTGAAAATGATGGAAATTAAGGTCCAGTGAAAAGGAGATAGTCCACTGTGGGTGTGCCCCAGAGCAGACATTGGGACCCAGGCCCCTTCTTTTCTGTCATTTTTATTTCCAGCTGCCATAAGGTGAATAGACATCCTCCTCTACATGCCCCCATCATAGTGTACTGTGCTACCCCAAGTCCAAAGCAACAGGGCTAAAAGATCATGAACTGAAACCACAGAAACCATGAGCCAGAAATGAAGCTCTCTTCCTTGCAAGCTTCTTTTCTTAGATGTTTTGTCATAGTAATACAAATCTGACTAACGGTGGGGTTTTAATGACAATCAGTAACTTCAAGCCCACAGTATTTTGTGCAGACTGATGTAGACAGAGTTAGAAGGCATAAATAATGAGATTTGGTTCCAAAGCTTAATTCTATGAACCTGTACAAAAAGAAAGAAATCTTTGCCGTGCAGAATATGAAACATCCTTTCTTTCTCTTGCCAGTGATTACACTGAGATGTTTTAACTTCTGAGTAGACACGTGAAAAAAAAATACTTATCTTCTCTCTCTTTCTTTAAACCTAGTTTCATTCTTTCCTTGAGAATTCTAGATGTTGAAACTAATGCCTAGAAAAGTAAGAGGATCTGCAGCTTTAAAACAAACTAAAAAGTCATTAACCTGGTTAACATGTAGAGAAGGGTGAGATCCTTTGTCTCACCTCCCTCTTGCTAAGGACCTGTGTTTGGAAAAAGTCTGTTAGGTTCCCCAGTGAGAATTTCTACCATGTATGGACTGAGAATTTCTATAATGTATTACATACATTATATATGTAATGGAAAAAAATTAAAATTTGTCACTTCCTATGTTCTAATTTTCTTTCCTTTTTCTTTTCATTAAGCCAATTAATTATTTTAAAAATTGGGCAATGTTAAGACTCCAGTAAATTACTATTCACCTCTGAGAAAATGCAAAGATCTACATTTTCATACTATTTAAGTTCACTTTGCTGTTTAATAGATTTCAGTGACTGTTTCACATGATTGCTGAGGCTATAACCAACTAAAGACTAACTATAACTAACACAGTGATGTGTACAAAAAGCTTTTGTTGTACAGGTGTTTTAGACTATAGCTTTAAAATGAACTAAAAAGTCATAAAAGTATTTTAAAAGTTTTCATTATTTTTTATCTATGAAAAAAAGACAGATGCTCCAAGACAGAAGATGAAGAATGCACTTGAGATTATTCAAAAAGAAAAAGTAGGGGCTGCGGATTTAGCTCAGTGGCATAAGCACCTGCCTTGCAAGCAGGCAGTTGTGAGTTCGATCCCCGGTACCGATAAAAAAGAAAAAGACCAAAAAAAAAAAAAAAAAAAAGAAACACTTTTCACATTTTATTTTTACAAAATAAATTGCTGGCCATAGTCTTCTGAACTTATAAAAATAAGTTGCAATTACAAAAGAATGGTTTAACTTTAAAAAAAAAAAACAAAGTAAAACTTTACATACTGTAAACAGTGGCACACATCTATTCATATTTGATTAAATATACTTTTTACTATAAAGGAAAAAGAAACATCAAACTTAAAGCAGTTGCAAATGACAATTTCATTGCAATTTTTTATACCTTCTGTGTATTCAACCTTCCAACTCTCCATGAAGTTATATGAGTACTGAGAGACCTATCATATCATAAAACTAATAATCTGCTCAACAATTTTGTTTTAAAGCATATAAACTGCATAACATTTTACTTAGTTTGATGGTACTGTATCTCTGCCATCTACATTTAATCAGTATTTAAAAACTAATAAAAATAATATCAAGTATATTACTTTCACAAAATCTTTTTCTTTTTGGCAATTACAAAATTTAGTCTATGCATCTTTTTTTAAAGATGCATACATGCATAACAAAATGTTTCTTCACTTCTTGGCTTCTTAATTTACACTCACTTATTCATTCAATGTTCATTAATTCTTACCATGTGCCTGTTGCTATGACAGGTACAGAGAGCTTTGAACTTTCATGAAGTCCAGTTCCCTTGGTAAATATTTATATTTCAGCTTAGTATTTTTGTGTGAGTAGAACCTTGAGCAAATCTCAAAAATTATCACTAAGTGACCACTATTCTGCTCCTTCCACTGAATTTTACAATAATCTGCAGTTAATAAATGGGATTATTTTATAGAAACTTCGATCTTTTATTTAACACTAAATAAACAAGGGGTGGGTTAGCCCCTGCATAAGTCAGTCCATATAAGTGGATTTCAGCATTCATTTAAAACATGAGAATTGCTTACACCTTCAATGAGTTAAGAAGCTCCCCTACAAAGTGAAAACATGTGAGATTTCTGAGGCATTTGAGATTAGAAGATAAAGGTTTTCATCCTCCCTTTGACAATAAGGTTTTAATCATCTCTTAGATAATCCTGAATAAAATACAAATGTCAAAGAATATGATACCTAAAAGCTATAGGTCTCAATTTATAGTACTATAGATTTCCAAGATTATTATATGCTGTTTACTTATTATACTCCATTCTTTGTGTGACTATTTGCCAGTAATTATTTCTACATATAGGTATTTAATTCTAGACTGTTAACATGTACACACTAACATTACTCTGGGAATTCAAATTGTCTAATCAAAGTATTAAAAGAATTTAGCTATCAATCAATATAACAATCAAAATTTTAAAATGAACCTAATGCACATAATGCGTGTCTTTCAGATTCTAACATTATATGTAAAAATTTTAATAGCTGTATTGAATATTGGTTGGATTAATAAAAATGTGTTCCATAAAAACTTAAACTGAGAAGTTAAATTCCACTTGATGCTTGCCAAAGCATGGTAAAATTGCAGAATGTTTCAGTTGATAAATAACATTGCATGCAACAGTGCCTTGAGAATCCAAGGAGAAGTATACTCTGCAATCTTAAAAATTTCTTCCAAAATCAATTAAAGTCCCACTGTACAAGAAGAGTTTTCTCTTAATGACAGCCTTAAACCCAAAATCATGAGTAACCACTTTAAAAAAAGGAAAAACCACAAAATAATTTCTTTGCATCAATAGTTCCCTGGATCTTCAAATAGTTCTCCAAGGCCCAGAGAGTTTCCTTATCATACTTAGTGGACTTTAAAGACTCATACATATTTTGTTTTGAAGAATTTTATATATTTTTTTAAACAACCATAACTCAATCATAGAAACATTTGCTAAATTATAAAAATTTATCTCTACTAGGTTTCCTAAACCTTCAATATTCACACACGTTTTAAAAATTCCAATCAAAATTTATTAGCAGTTGTTTTCAAAATTTTATCTATCTTTTGACATAGTTCTTGAAATGAAATACAAAGGGGATAAATGTTCAGTGTTGGTTCTTTGATTTTGTACTTTAAGTGAATGTAAAATAATAAATATCACCGGGCTCTTATTAGCATTGAGGTAATGAAACTCACCAGGTTCTCTCTGCGGTTTCGCGGAGGTGGTGATGGGTGGTAAGGGCACATCAAAATGTCTGGGAAGGGCACAGAAGGATTCCAACATGCTGTTTTTAAAACAAAAAGCTAGATCTTAGAGTGATTTAATATTCTCTATCTTGTAATACAACCTTCAAGACTAACATTATAGGATTAAACACTAGTATCACAATCTCCAGTCAATAGGATGTAGAACTGTTACATCTTTAGTCCCTGGCCAAATACTTGTTATGAATGGACACAAGATAATATCAAAATAATATTTTCTGGTTCTGAATATGGATAACAGGTGAGAATATCTAATGGCCAAAATTGCCCCATCTAACAAAAATCAAGAAAATTCATAAGAATCATATCCATTACTTCACTGTTTTAAAGGAGATTTGAAATAACAGGCTTAACTAACTTCAGTTAGAGAGCTTCAATTATGTTAATTGAATCAGGAATTAGTACCACATAAAAACTTTACATAACGTAGATTTTAAAAATGAAAGAAAATAAAATCCCCCAAATGTCATCCTCATGATATTTTACTAATAACTGCAAGCCCTTAAATTTCCTATAAACTAGATGCTATTCTAAGCCTACAAAATGTATTACTGATTCAACCTCCATAAACATCTAGATATCTAGATATGAGTATAGCCAGGATTTAAAGTCAAGAACAGGACTTCGTAAATTATACTGCTGGTTTATACTAATTCCATTTGTCATGGTTAACATATAATATATTCAATAATTTTTCATCTATGTGGACATAAATACATATGAAATTTCTAATGAACATTTTGCATTTAATATAATGTGATGGATACCTTTTAAGATGTACTAAGAAGCACATTTTTAGTTTGACCCATTATATTTTAGCATTCCATTGTATGGATTCAATACACTGATAGTTTATAAACCAGGATGAAAATTTTTGAGCATCCGTACTCATGTAGCTGCCTAATCATTTTTTTTCTTAATATAGATACTTACAGTGAAAACACTAGTTCAAATGTTATATAAATGTTACAGAAGCTTTGAGAATTTTAAAACATTATTCGCACCATGAAACAAGGGTGTATGAGGGAGAAAGATGTGACTGGAGTGTTCAGAATTTTACATTTGATGCAGAGTAGGCACCCAATAGCAGTAAATAAATGGCCAATGTTTTCATGGGTTTAACTGTCACTCATAGACATTTCTTTGGATTTGACCAAAGAACTTAGGAATTCATTAGTTTGTCAAGGGAAAATATGAAAAGTTTGATTATGTAAGCAGTTTTGCAAAGCTGCCACTTAAAATTCTAAAATTTACTTATATCCTACTAATTGAGGCAAAGATATTAATCAGATGTAGTTTAATTTACCTTCTCATACAGTGTGTAGCCCATGCATAAGCATTATTTAATCTCTAAATTAGAACTAATGGAATTTTCCAAGATTCACAAATACTGAAAGATTCTAGTCAATATATTCATTTGAGCAAGATATTTAGGAACATTAAGGTCAATACAATTAAATATGCCATGAGATATATTAGCTCATAATATACTCCTGTTGTTATTAATTTGATCAGAAAAATCTAAACAGATTATCATGCAATGCCTGAGAAATTCTCACTAATCATGAGACTGGGGAAGAAGCCAGACTTGCTTGGCTGAATTTTGCAATCTGTGTTAACAGAAGTGCAGGTATTTATTCTTTTAAATGCATCAAATATTAGCAACTAAAAAAATCAATACTAGTAAATAAATAATAAGTGAATTTTATCGTGGAAAATTAACATTAAATAGTAAGTGAATTTTATTGATGGTAAATTAACATTTAGAATATATCCTTGTTTATTATTATCATCCTAAAAGAGTGGCTTAATGCATAACAATCTTTGAGTTTCTGACATAAAGGTACATTGAATAACTAAACCTTTTTAAGCTTAAATATGAAATTAGAGAAATATTCCATTTGGTTTTCTCTCCACAGGTTGAAAGAGAAATATGGAAAAAGAAATCACACATTTATGAGATTGTCACATTTCTTCACATTTTGTCCAAGAAAATTTCTCTGGCTTGGCAAATATTTTATGATCTACATAAAAAATTGTGTGTCACCTCAACTTTAGTACTGTCCCAGGCATCTTGAGCATTTAAGTAGTTTACAGAGGTCTATATGACTTCAACAGAAACCATCCCCGAATCTCAAAATGAGCTGGGTAATTTGTGCTAATTATTCCTAGAGCCTAATTGTTAAGAATCCCCTCTTGATTTCCTAAATGATTAATTTTCTTCTGTTGCTTATGTCCTCACTGCCAAGTTTTCTTGTCTTCATTGCATGGAGAACTACATTTCAATGAAAATTTCAGACTGATGACCTTTTTTCCTAAAAAAAAAAAAATCTATTCAAGCACAGATATTCAGAAAACCTGAGTCAACACGTCCCCAACCACTTATTTATCTTTTCATTGGCATTCCCATCACACTTCTAACATTAATGAAATGAAGCTAACTGCTAAGGGAGGAAACAAGTTGTCGCCATAAGCTGGCCATAAATAAAAAAGAGACAGCCCTGGTGGATTGAAGTTCAGGCTTTATGTGCCCAGGGCTGCCTCTGAAGCCAGGCATTTGCTCTTTATTTCAAAAGGTGGTGATCTTCCTCATTAAACAGGACATGTTTTCATTAAAAATGGGAAATCGGGGTGTCAGGAGGGCTTTATCTTCCACCAGTTGCAAAGAAACAATTCTCTGAGAAGGAGTCAGTCCTCATGAGAAAGGTGCTGTAATAAAAGATCTTGCACCTGATCAGATTTATTATTAGTGAGTGCTCCACTTATCCTGATGTCACCATCATTCCTCCCCCAGCTCCTGGCTTTATTTAAATATTACATGGGAAGTGATTTTAGGAGTTACATTGACTTTTCTACATGTTAAATGCCTCTTTGAAATTCTAAGCTATGTGATTAACTTGCTTTATTAACCACTCTTCACTGCTATACTCTGCTAGGACAATTTGGGATTTGGGTGAAAACTGAGAGGAAATTTTTTAAAACTACTGAATTCCCAATATAATTTATTTTCCTCTTAATTAGACTCTATACTTAGCACAGGTAAAACCAAACCTCCAGTACTGAAGCTGTGCAAGTATTCTACTCTTTCAAGTTTGATTACCACATTGCATTTAAGGCAAGAAAATGGTTACATTGAGCATGAATCTTTTAGTGTCGAACACAATTCATAGCATAAATATTGGAAGACACAAGATATTCTTTAGCTATGGTAGCGTTTGCTCTAGATATGCCAAATTCCTGACCATATTATACTGATGAATTAGTGTAAAATGAAGCATTGAAAAATACATTTTAACAGAGCAGTACTTACATTCTACAACATAAAGGTTCTTATAAAACATGTACTGCCAGGCTATTAGAGTCTATCTGTAGCCTTGAAGCCAATGGCTGTGTACACAATTTTAAAGTGATTTTGAAAACAGTGTTGCAGTTCTGTAGAATAACTGAAAAATGTAACTGACCCATCTCCAGACACTTTTGGAAAGCAAAGGAATGCTCAAAATTCCAGCATTCTAACTATGTTGTGTAGCATCAGCCTCACCTTCTGTTAGGAGAAGACTAACCTTTAATTATTAGATTGAAAGGGGGAAATTATAACTTACTATTCTCCATAATTGCAGAAAAGTTATTAAAATTCCAAGCTTATGTAATATTATCATAAAATATGGCATTTTTCTCAAGAAAGACACAAATTGGATTTGAGCTTATGCACTGTAAAACCCAGATGGTTTGCTTAACTATTCAGACATTCTCCAGTTCAAAAGTTAATTGAACTGAAAACTAAAATTTTGATAACTGATATGCTTTGAGAAATTCAAGCAAAAAGATAAAATAGTCTTGTGCATGGAGTGTTAATAGATAGACCTGAGGAACAATGACAATTGGGCAAGGAATATTAGCAAAGAAGAGGAACACACACACACACACACACACACACACAGGATTAGGTGATTAAACATTACCTGGAGTTATCAGCATGATGTTGCTTTTCTTTTTCCATTTTTTTACTCACAGATTCAATATCTGTCATTATTTTACCCAGTTTAACTTGTTCTAGAATTTAAAAAAAGCTTTAATAGTGTAATGCTATTACTTTTCAAGTTCTAAAATGTACTTTTCAAATTAAATTGCAAATCATGGATTTTTTAATAAGAAGAGGTAGAAGAGTCTTTAAAAAGTACTAACAGATACTCAAAAAACACATTTGCGAGTTTTTTCACCCCATGCTACTGAAATGTTTTGCAATTACTAAAATTTAAAATTGAAAAGTATAAAGTAAATGAACTGCATATATCAGAAAGGTGATAGCTCCCAGGAAAATGCCTGCAATAGTGGAGCACATACCAATGAATACAATTCATACACATCAGCATTACCTTCATTATCATCATAAAGCTTAGTTTTCATAGAAGACTCTACTATTTTAAAATATTTTAGCAAATAATTAATGTAAATAGCAATACTTGAACAATCCAGAAACCTCAACATTTAATAAGAGCAAAACTAAAGTCCAGAAAATGTAAAGGTTTTGCTTTATAAAAAAAATCTAGTTTGTAGAGTCTAAAAGGAAATTTCTACAAAATATTTTAAGTACCCATTACTCCTGTTTTGTACAGGTGATGAGACAAAGATAGAAATTAAAATATTGTGATAGAAAAATATCACATCAGGTTTCTATTGCACTCCTATTAGCTTCCAGATTGGATATTTTATATATTACAGACAAAACGTAAGATGAGGGCTGGGATGAGTCTCAGTTAACTAGTGTTATGTCTCACAAGTATGAGGCCCTGGGTTCAGTTCCCAGTATCAAACACACACACACACACACACACACACACACACACACACACACATACACACTGTGAAACCAGGTTGTAAAACACACACGGCACAATAATTATTTTAAAAAATATTACAAACTAGTCATCATTTCAATGCCAACAAAACAGCAGAAAGCAGAAGACCACTAACTAGATGCCTTATGTAATTAAGATTTAAATGTGCATAGAGATTATA